CCCCCCCCCCCCCCCGCACTGGAGAGGTGTGTCCCGTGCAGTATGTATCATGTCCACAAGACCGCGTTCTTCATTGACAAGAACCGTGTCGTAGTTCAAAAACCCATCGTCCCGCATCGTCCCGCATCGTGGCAACGATACGGCACCACTCAAGACAACACGAGTATCTTAGAGGAGCAGCACGGTTGCCTCAGGCAAGCTGCGTTACAAATTGCCACACATCCACCTCACCTATCACTTCCGTGCTTGTGCAATGCGCGGCTAGTGATAAGCCCCTCCTTTATTTCGGCCCAAATGGCACTTTCACACGCGTCACTCCTGCTGCTCTCTGGCTGCGGTAATCCGAAAGGACTACAAGGTCAACCCGGGAGGTGCCCAACCTTACGCCACCATTTCCATGTTCAATGATCTGGTTGACAGCAAAGGACTCGGCTTGATACGTGCGGACATCACGCCGAACCTCACCAAAAAGGTACCAGTAGGTGGATGCGGCTTCTGCGGCAGCGGTGATGTTTTCTCAATTACGAAGGGGAGGACTTGACTGACCACTCCTTACGTCTATCGGATATCATATCGGATCGTACAGTGGAGGTCCACGAATAAGGCGGTCGCCTTGTCGCCTTATCTAAGGCGGGTGAAGCGACTGGATTAGACGAAATAGCCAAGTCCTCCTACATGTTGAATAATAAGTGAGGCTGTTGCCCCACCAAGGCCCTTTTGGGGGACCCCTACTGTAGAATACTCGTGTCGCGACAGACTTGAAATTCAGGCAGATGCAAGGGGATAGGAATGAACATTGTTCGGCTATCTCTCGAACGAAATGTTTGCAATTCCGTAACGTATCATCTCTCAAAGTCCCCCCCCTATCGCCTTGTCCACTGTCGTGCCGCAATCGCAGGAGGTGGACAGGCTTGTACGACTCCTGATTCGATTCTACTCCCCGCACGCACACCACCACGTGGAAGCTTTCAACCTGAGGCCGCAGGAATTCGACCTCGAGAAACTGCTGCAGGAGACGCCCAGAGATTGATGATGATGATCGTGAAGTTCAATTTCTTTTCCCCGACTTTTCCGAGGGAGGCGATATGTGCGGTCGATCTAGGGTCAGTTCTCGTCCTGGTGCATCGGTGCCCTCCAACTGCCATCTTTTGTCCTAAATCTGCTTGTCCGTCCATGCCAGGGGGGGTGATTCAGAGGCAATCCGCGGTCGGGGTATCTTGTATCTTGTGCCTTTTGTTCTCTTGTTGAGGTGTGGTGGTTGAAAAGGGGCAAAGACGTCGCTTTCATACAAGTGATTCGGGTCTTGTAGTTTTTGCGTCATCCCTGCCTGTGGCTGTTGTAGCGTCTTCCTCGATAAGAGTTTGGACGAGATCCTGACTTCCACTAATTTCGCGACGACTACAGCTGCTGTGTTGGGGTGAAGCGATGGACTATCGTTCTAATGTCGTCCGGAGTGACTTCAACGTGATCCCCGGCTGAGCAAGCTTTCTCTGGTGGCGTGCCTTGATGCTTGGAACCCGACGTTGACCTGTTCCAGGCACCACTTTTTGTGCGGTTCTTAGCTTGCTCGCGATTGGTGGCCAATCTTGGTCGTTTCTTCAACGCTCCATCATGTGCTGTGCCATTAACGGTCGGTCCCCGATCCCGGGATCATGAGCATGCAGCCTCGCTGCAATGGTTAATTGGGGTGACGGTGCCCCGAACGAATACTACAGCACAAGGTTTGTAGCGCTTCGGCTTCCAGCTTCGTGGGTAAAGCACCCTCTGGGGGAATGGGGCGCGAACGTTTGCGTACTGGTATGCTTTAGGATCCCTCCCCGGAGGACGTGTGGACGACTGAAATGGTGAAGCACTTTTGGCACTGGTACGTTTCTCCGAACAGAAATTTCCGGGAAATGTATCGCGGATTGAAGTACTCCACACCATCGTTGCATGTCCAAACGCCGTTGCGACGACCGGAGAAAGCGACCCACAGGAATAAAAATACGCTGAAATGGTGTTGACAGCAGTCTCATGTACTATGACGAACAAATAAGTAAAACATGGAATTTTACCATGGTAAGGTAACATGACAAAGTACCGTGCACAGGTCAATCCGTGCATACAACCAACTAAAATCTTCCACACACTCGCTGCTGACAATATAAACGCCAGCGTTTTCACAGACCAACATCCCGTTTCGCTAGATATGAAACAAGACACTATTGGATGAACGCGTTTCCTCTCCCCTTCGGGGAAGGTGCAGTTGACATGATGCAAACAACTGCTCGTAATCCCCTCCTGCGTGCTTCTATGCTTCGCACCGGCCTCACTAACCGGCCGACGAATGAAAAGACGACTGACAGCAGTAACAAACCGATACCACACACGAACGGCTTCATCGTCCATTCCGCGGGGACCCGTTCAAAGAGTACCGCGGAATTGTGTCTGGCGCCGGATTGGAGTTATTGCCAATGCCCTTGGAACACTCGTGTCCCTGATTGTTCTAGCTGGTCGGTCTTCTTTTGGACATTTTGAAGCCGGAGTGTACCGCCACCACACCTGCCGAGAGGTTGGAGTGAGCTACCACCTTGAAGCCCGCGGAAGACATGCGTTCCTCCAGCTCTTCTTGCCTGAGGAGCGCAATCGTGGGAAAGGGGGGGTCCGGGGGGGGGTTACTCACGTTTTGCATGCCCTAGCGGTTAGACCAGTGACCGTGGACCCTTCATCCTACATGTAGTTCGAGAGGAGGACGGGCGGCATGCCCTGCCACAACCATCTAGAAAACCAATTACATCGAGGGAGGTGTACGCGAATGCCAAGCCCAGTGTTCTGTTACCTACAGTATGGAATGGGCAGTCGGCAAGGTGGGCATCGTTTTGGGGCTTACCGCGGGCGTCGACAGTTCGGACTACCTTGCACGTTACTTTTTGTGGCAACCAAGAACCAAACGCATGTTTTGAGTGATGATTGTCTGGCCACGCACAAAGTTAGGTTTAGGGTAGCAGCGCCCTGAAAACCAAACACACCGCTAGCGACGTGCTGACTTGTCCTCGCGTACGCCCCATGCACGAAACACATCAATAAAGCATCTCCCAACTTCTAATTGCCAAAAATCGTTTTCACTAACGTCTACTCTCTTGTCTTCGTGGAGTCGTAGTAGCAGACCCACATTCTCCACGAGCGGTGGGATGAACTAACCACTGCACCTCCTGTTGCCTTTGTATGCTGGTGAGCTTGTGAGCACGCAAAAACCCGCGTCTCGGCCTCAACGGGTACGCGGATACAAGAGGTATTCGACATCTTTCAGATTTCTTTGTCAAGTGTGAATGGCAATCCCCATCTTGCACTGCTGCGTGTGCCTGGGCACCAGTACGGGTGGGGTAGCTGGGGTTCTAGATGGGAATAACCAGATTACCAGATTCATGGAATCGCTTCAGGCGGGAACAGCATGCCTACCACGGGGAGTTTTCGTGCCACGTATGATGAAAGGCGGCTGCTCGCTCTTTCTGTCGTTATCGAATTCAGCCAAAATCAATATCGGTCGCCACGAGCAGCCCCTTCACCAACCAAGAACTGCGCACAGAGAAGTGAGAGAGAGCGTATGGCATGCTTTGTTCTGTCTTTGGCTCACCCAGGGAACATGCGGATGCTCTCCACGAGATACTGGTAGGCATCTCGATCCTTGGCGACCACCTAAGGAGAAGGTTTCCAGATACATGTATGCGCAAGAACAAAAACCGCGACGTGAGGAAAAATGCTGCCTACATGATTCCCGAAGAAAAAATACATTCAACCCTAACCCAAATACTACCGTAGACCACCGCAACAATTTTAATGTCTTCGTGCAAACCGCCCCCTTGAGCATCTTGTTCGTTCCGTTAAGGCATGCAATGACAGGGACGGATTCGCCGCCAAAAATCTACTACACCTCTCCATCTCTCCTGCCCATGCTCCAACAACCCGCCGGGCACAGCGGGTGAGGAAAGCTGCAAACTACATTGTATGGTAGCCGCGAATATCATTATAGATCGATTTGAAAGAGGCGAGTTGAAGCACGCGATCCACTACAATTCCAAGGCGCGTGGAAAACGTCGTCTGCAGGGCACATATACTGGGGAGCCAAACCTCAACAAACACTACATGTAGTCTCAGCGTACCAAAATTAACTTGGTTTGACGATGTTTCCTGATGGGGTATCGGCAAGCCAAGATGCTTGACTTTACCAGGACTTTGAGGCAAGGAAGGTACTGTAAAATACATACATGTATACTTGCACCGGACCAAGATCAAGACGGGCGAGAATCCAAGCAAAATGCCGGCGAGCAACACGAATCAAACGAAATAAGGACGTAATGACGGACGGTAGAACGAGCGGCAGAATGGGCGCTTCACCTGCCCGATGGTAGGAATCACGTTGAAGCTGTACCAGTCGTAGGCCTTCTGCAGCGGTTCTATGGGAACTCGGCTGAACTCGAGGCACATGAACCTGTGTATTAGGTGTGGTAGGCGACAGCAGCAGTGGAGAAGCGCTGGCTGTCAGAATTGTCCCGGTGCCCGCAGGCGGGGGAACCTAGCAATTACTGTTGTAACACTCGGTCTATTACGGTTTCACTCAACTACTCGAGTAGTTAAGCGTCACCTTCCAGTTGGAGCGAGTTGCACCCTCGCAAAAGCGTTGAGTGTTTAGCTAACGAGCACAGTTCACGCTCCATCACATGGGAGATTGACACTGCTGTTGAAAAGACCGTGAACCTTCACAACACACACAAAAAAAACTTTACTATACGAACGTGTGCTCAGTCAACAAGCCTATTGTGGACCACACCGTACATAATCGGTGTTGGGCTAGCCCGAATAGAAATTAAGACACTTGCCTCTTAGGCGAAGAAGGAGGTTCTAACATGGCGAGTTCTGTACGGTGAACACGACAGTACATGTGTAGGTTGCGGCTGGGGGAGAGGGGGAGGGAGGGGTCAAGAGAGGATTAAGAAAGCGGAGCCGGCGCGACAGCCTTCGGTGAGATGGTGGCTAAACCGTTAGATGATGTTAAGTTTAGTGCTTACCTGCCCCCGGGCTTGAGCACTCGATGCGCCTCCCGGAGGGCCTTGTCAACCTGATCATGATCAACCCTCCGAAGATCATTCACCAAGGTAGGGAGTCGGTGTCAGGAATCCACAACTTCTACCTGGAGCGTGCCTGCTACTCGCACAAGAATACACTTCTGCCGTACGAGAGCAAAAGAGCATGCTTCTGCTGTGCGAGAGAACCCGAGGCGGCCGGAGCAGCAGCTTAGCAACCACGTAGCTCGCTGCATGGAATGCAGTAGCACCGGTAACATAAAACAATGGCAGGGCACATTGTAGAGAGGTAGCAGGAGTGCCAACAAACATACACAACAGAAAAACTAGCTGCAGCAGGGCCAGCAACAACATCCGTCATAACACCATCACCGACACCAACGACAGCCACCATCAAGAAGATAAACATCCTGACCAACACGAAAAAACAAGCGCCTTTGTGCGACCTCCCTCTTCTCTCACATCCGTGACGTTCCTCAGGCCGAAGGCGATGGTGTAGAGGTGGAACGAGTTGTCCTCGAACGGCAATGCCTCCGCGTCTGCCTGGAAAACGATAGCCATCACTATCATGATTAACCCGCCATCCGGTACCTTGTTCGATCAGGATCTCCTACGCCAACCTTTCGGATGGCACATCACATATCCCGGCATACCTCAACGCCGCAGGTGGGGAGGTGCTATCTGCAGTGCCCCCCCCCATCACGCGAGGACAGTGACACAGATGGCGCAAGCATGAAATAATAGTGTACGGAACTCCATGCTCTCATGGGACACTAAAACCAAGTGACTTTCGCGCAAAACCGCACTAAGCAACAGTCATCGGCGGTGGCGGCAGCGGCGGCGGCTGTGGAAATGATTCATAAAAGGAAATCGCCTTCGCATTGCTTGGTTGTTGCCGCAGCCATCTCGCTAGCGAGTAACGAAATTGGCTGATAAGCTGTTTGATTGATCGTGGAACATCACCTGGACAAATTGCATGTTGGTAAGAATCTCGGGGGAGAAGCGGTCCGCGGCACGTTGCTCCCCGACCTGCGCCATCCGTTCGTCGTACAACGTCACCGTCAAGAGGATTCAAAGGGATCGTCGTACAACGTCAAGCTTCAAGGGCATCGTTGTACGACAAGATTCATAGGTATCATCGTACGACGTTAAGATTAAAGGCATTGTCGTACAACGTCAAGATTGAAAGGCATATGGTTGTACGACGTCAACGTCAAGAGGAGAGCATAACAAGCTACATGGGCAGGCACTCAACAAGATGGGGGGCTTATATTGTACGGTATCACGGCCTTCTCTCTCGCGAGTGTATGGTTGACAATTCAACACCGCCGAGAACTGTACTGTAACAGCAGTCACGTTGAGTCAAGAGTGTGAATGAGACGCGTACGTTTCTCTGCGCTGGTCGCCTGTGGGTTTGCAGAATGGTCGTACGTGTTTTGTTCATGGCTCAAGTACCACGAAGAGCGGCAGCACCGTACGGAACACGAAAAAAAACCCATCAGGCACCAGCAGGTCGTCTAGGAAGAAACGCCTGGGGTGTGCTCGCTGTTCAGTTGGTCAGCCTTCACGATAACGACTTCGTTCGCGTTCGATCGCCACCACGAGGAAGACGGCCTCGTTGCACAAACCACAGCTCGCATACAACTCCGGCCCTTAGCCGGAAATTCATGCCACCATTGTGCTCAACGCTGGCACGTTGGAAACGCAGTGTCCAGGAAATTGCCTCCGCAGAGTAGGTGTGGTGCTTACGGTCACCGCTTGCAACCTCTGCCCGTGCGTCCGGCAACGTAGAGCATGGCACGGCAAAGCATGACGACAAACTACTAGCCGGGCAAAGTTCAAAATCCCGTAGTGCGAGGCATAATCCCAGCTGCGTTTTGTACAAGGAAGCATTCCTAGTCGGAAGAAGGTTGTTGGGTTTGGCACCACAGAAGAGCGGCGAAACCAAAACACATTCCTAGACACTCAGAGCCATTACATGAACCAACAGGTTAAAATATGCCAATTTCGACCGACCTCCAGCATGTCCGGGTTGATGTCGCTAACGGTAAGCAGAGGAACATTGCTGTCGATGGCGTTTCCTGCAGCTCCATCCTGCTGCACCCCCCCCTGCTCCTCCCCCTCTCCGGTGGCGTCCCCAGCTGGTGAACCGGCCATGTAAGGTCGCAACTGATCGGCCACTCTGCCGTCAGAAACGTAACATAATGCCAACTTATTATCTAGATATAGAAATACCAAATCGTTCTGTACGTAAGTAGTGACGGTGTCCGGTATTGTGCCGGTAGAATCTCTGGACACATCCCGGCACTTTCAGGGCCCACTATTGACTGTACAACTCGACTATTAGAGGGCGAACCTTTTCACCTTCACTGTCCGTCCATATGCATACGTAGGTAAACTCATGATACCGCACGCAATCTCGAATGCGACAACTGCATGTAGTTCGAGCATTCACAGAGGCACATGTTCTGCTGTAGATGTTCTTGACTCGCGCGTGCGTCCGATGCGATCAATTCAGTCACGCACCGACGCTGTAGAAATATGTTGTTATAGAATGCATAGATTTGTACAACATACACACAGATGTGGCGGCTAACTTGCATTCTGTCCATTAGTCTATGCTATGTGGAGCTCTCGCAATCTCTATCTGTCGTACTGCTTATAGCAGTCCAGTCATCTTTGGCAAGTACTTCGGCCAAAAAAAAAAGCGGAAATACCCCCTCCTCGCAAGCGCAGCGACAGACAAGCAGGAAGGGGCGCGAAGCACATGTTGCCTACCAAGTTGGACACTAAAGGGGGGGGGGGGGGGGGGGGGGGGGGGGGGGGGGGGGGGGGGGGGGGGGGGGGGGGGGGGGGGGGGGCATGGGAAAAAACCTCGACAACCTCAACGCGACCTGCGCTGCCCTGTAAACGGAAAATATTTTAAACCTATGCCCGGAGTTGCCGCTGTGCCCATACGGATCCTAGAGGTAGGTCACAGTGGTCATCCGCACCACGCACGTCGTATGGGATACGTGAGAGATGGCGAACAGAACCGTTCAACACGGCCCGCCCGCAGCGGTAAAGACAAACATGCAACAACGAAACACGTGACACCAGCGCGCATAGCTTGTGTGCGCACGCATGACCGGCCAGATATGTAACGACTGTCACCTGAAGGCAATGTCTCCGGTTCCCCCGGCCACGTCCAGCACCTTCGGGGCCGGCGAACCCGCTTCGAAACCCGGCGAAATTCGCAGCATGTCCACAAACTCATCCTTCCAAATTCGGTGCATCCCTGAGGTTCCAACAACGTGGGGGTAAAACATGTGGCGACTAAGGGTTTCATTCAGCAGTCCGCCAAGCTGGCGAGAATCAACGCGGGGGGACCTGCAGAATCAGCGTACTGGAAGGAAAGATGTCACGGTGGCATTTGCCCGAAGACTTGGTGGTTCTCGGCACGTGCTTGGGTGGCCGTGCCCAACGTACCCTTACAACGGCAAGATGTGCTCTACTGCAGTTCGCCGAACGTACAACGCCAAGCTGCGACACATGCGGCAGCTGTACCAAAACGAGCGACGTGGGCCGTGCACTATCACCTGCGCTCATGAGGTCGTTCATCACGTCGTAATTGTGGGCCACGCTCGTGAAGACGCCTTTCACCATGCCCTTCTTCTGTTCCGAGGGAACCTGATCAACAAGCGGGGAAGCGCATGGTGCAGACAGGGAAGCACCGATTCGGCAATTGGGAGTTTGAGGCTGCCGGGCTGGGGGGAATATCTCGCAGTCCATGATATTTTCAACACATCATGCAACCTGTGTTCAGGGTAGTGAATGCAATACAGCTCCAAATAAGCGAGTGCCCCGTGTTCGCTCGTCAGGTACACAGCAGCAGTCTGAACGCCGAATGAACGGGATGGGCGACAAAAATTGTGGCATAGACTACTTAGTTCCCTCCCGCTGTTCCATTCACCAGATGTCGCTCGGCAGCCCGCATTTTCTACTCATGCACATCACTCAACGTATTACACGGGACAAAAAATGTTTCGGGCATGCATGATCTACACGTGATGGAGCGCCAAGCGCATGTTGCTTGCATTTGCATTTTGGGCGAAAGATCCCCACACTTCATGGCTACTATATCTCTTGCGGAAAGCTCAAGGCACTTACACAGGTACTGCCTCAATGGCACACATCACACCAAATGGCGAGGGGCTGGTTGAGGTGTTGATAGGTGGTCATAAATACTCGCTGCAACAAGCATGCTGTAACCAGCATGTCACCACCTACAGCAGTACATGTGTGCAATGCCATAAGAGGAGGTGGAGGGACCTCTCCTCTCCTACGGCATTAGACCAATTTCAAAGCTTGGTTGCCCAATCTTGGTTGTTCCACAACTATAATAAGATGGTGCAAACACCAACAGCGGTGGCGTACAGGAAACATGTCGTCGAGGGGTTGCCGAATAGACGTCTCGGGCCCTCTTTCGTACCCCATTGATTGTGGAGCAATTGACCTTGGAATTTCGGTCCATGGGGGGTGCTATCTCTCTGCCTCTCGGACCAGAAAGCAGTACACTACTGCTGTAGGGTAGTATCGACTTCCTCTGGTGTCGGATCTCACGTCTCACCTGCTGGAACCCAAAGTGGGTGTCATCTACATTTACAGGAGTGTGGGCTGCTTCGGCGGACGCTGGAGCAGACGGCTTCGAGGCGGAGGTCCACCTGGGACGGCAAGGGAATAACAAGTGCCAACGGGGCATGGAAGCAGGGGTGCATCTATGGAGGAGACTGCTGCGCAGCTTGCCGCTGCAACCGCCTGGCGGCGAGAGCTGTCGGTGAGTCACTTGCAAGTACCTGAACAGCAGTTGTCGAGATTCAGCATCTCTCCACAACGTACCTGCAACGTTGGTTGCGACATCTCCTTGCAGAGAGTCGGGATATCCTCATGCACGCCAGTCCCAAGGAGTTCATCTTCAATAGCAGCAGTGGCTTCGCAGGTAGTTTAGGGATGGAGAGTTGAGTTGCAGCCTGCCGCGCAGGGTGCGTCTCGTGGGGGCACTGCGGATCGAGTCAGGGGCAGCAAAATTGGTTTGGTTCTAGTCATGTTTCGTATCGGGGTACAACATGAAATTCGACCGCGCCCACCAGAGGAGAGCAGGAGGGTTGACGAGCGGGAGGGCGAGAAACATGCATACGCAACCCACGTTGCCCGGAGCTTGGTCAACCAATGGAACGACGAACTTCACAATAGAGACATGGTGACACGGAAGCAACGTTATATCAACGGCTCGCGGGCTCGAACCAGGCATCTTCCTGCGCTTTCACCGTCTCGTGGGCATGACCGACCAACAAACTCTCCGCAGCAGCAACCCTGGCAACCACCGCCGAGGGCCGCAGCTTGGGTGGCCAGTCTCAAGGATGAGGCCCTGTACCTGGCGTCGGTCTTGTGCGCTAGGCTCTGGGATCCGGCGAAAGGCGGAGATGGGCGCGGCCTGCTCTCACGTGCGCTCGCCAGGGGAGAGCTTGACCAGTTTTTGGTGGCCTTTTTCAGCGACCCGGCACATATCTCATTCGCGAGAGAAAAGGTGTGCGCAAGTATTTGATTTGGGTGCTGTGTTGTCCTTCAGCGACACCACGCATGCTAGCGGCGAGAGCCCTTTTTCGGCAGAGCAGTTGCACTGCTCAGCGGTAGACATGAAGGTGATGCTGCCTTCAGAAGGTACGGCAGAGAAGTGCACGTGTGTGTTTGCGCCTTACGCCACTTATTTATCGGGTGAGGCTGTTTTGGTGATGTATTAGCTTCACGAGAGGTAGACGACCATCCTTCACACGGACGAAAGAGGGAGTGCTCAACAGCGCAGCTCCAACAGCAAGGAGGGGCGCCGTGAATCATCGCGGTGCCCTCTACCAAACGGCAATCTTACCAATCTGCGTGACACCAAATCATACAGCACATGTCTCCGAAACCAATGTTCGCAGACCCACGAACACCCTCCCTGGTTCTTCACGCAAGTGGCTAACCATCAACGGGGCAAGAACGCCACGGGATATACCGAAAATACCAATATGGTAATATATGGAGGGGAAACCCGGCGTCCGGGCAAAACCCCTCGAAAAATCCCCTACCACCACAAAAACCGTCGCTATCACAGCGGATCACAACGGCCGCACTTATTAGAAAGGCCAAGGCGAAGACAAGAACTCGAGGAACTACGTTCCCCCGGACGATGGTCACCCAACGCCCCCTACTCCTGCCATTGGTACACAGACCGCGACAGTTATGCGTCTTTCCCCTCATGGTAAACATGACTTCTCCCAAGTGCTAAACCTGCTACAGCTACTCCGGCAAATCCATCAACGTGCGCCGGTGGTACTGCAGACTGGCCCTGCTAAGGGCCTTGGTAAGGAGGTCCGCGTGTTGCTTTGTCGTGGAAACAAACTTGACCGAAATATCCCCCGACCTAAACAATCCGCGGATGAAATNGCCCTCCCCGGCAGTATTCGACTTCCGTCGAAGACAAAGACACGATGCTCTGTGTCTTGCTACCATGGCTGACGAAGGTACCTCCAACCGTCGTCGCCAACCCTGACACCGAACGCTTATCCTCCGTGTCGGCGTAGCTAGCGTCTACGTACACGACCAACCCTAACCCCNTCTACCGCTGGTCTCTGGGGCAACAAACGAAAGCACAGCACGCATAAACAACGCCTCCTTGACGCCCTCCCCGGCAGTATTCGACTTCCGTCGAAGACAAAGACACGATGCTCTGTGTCTTGCTACCATGGCTGACGAAGGTACCTCCAACCGTCGTCGCCAACCCTGACACCGAACGCTTATCCTCCGTGTCGGCGTAGCTAGCGTCTACGTACACGACCAACCCTAACCCCGATCCCCGGTGGTAGGTGATGCCGAGGTCCCTCGTCTTCTTCAAGTTGCCGAGGATCTTCTAGATGGCATCCCAGTGCCTCTTCGCCGGGGCGTCGGCGTGGCGCGCTACCGCACGCACGGCGGACGAGACGTCTGGACGCGAGAACGTCGACACCTACATCATGCTGCCGATGGCCTTCCTCACCGGCCACTCTCCTCCCTCCTCGTCATCTCGCTTCGGTCCTAGGTCGGCACCAGGGGTAGCGGGGATGTGGGAGGTCGATTGCACATCAAAGCTTTTCACCATGTTGTCGATGTACGCGGTTTGTGAGATTCTGACTCCAAGCCTCTATATCTCTCTCCATGGCGCACCCGTCAAACCACTCGCACTCTTCAAGGTTTTTGGTGGGAAATTTCTTGTTGAGAGAAGCAAGTAACTCCTTGCAATCCTCGTCAGACCCAGCCACCAAAATATCATCCACGCAGATCACGGTAACCATCACCACGACTTCGTCTACCATCTTGCGGAAAACACACGGGTCCGCCTGTTCGTATATGTCCTTAACTTGGAAGGGGAAGACGTTATATCTCTTGTATTTGACACGCAAGGGGAGTAGGGAGAAGTGAAATCCTCTTTGGAGTTCGAGGGGTCCCCGCACATGCAACCATTTCAAAGTGTACATATGCCCCATCTGCGTCCCCTCTGTTGTTGCCGGTAGATCTAACCAGTCCGTATCCAAACACACGAACACCCTCCCCGGTTTGCACGCGAATGGCAAACCTAACGTGGGGCATGGATACCCCTGATCTACCAAAGGGACTCAAAACAACTACAGGCTCGAGGGAAAACCCGGCCAACCGGATCAAAAACCCTCGTCTAACACCCTTGATAAAGAGACCCGTCGCAATCACGGAGGATTCCAACGGCCGCACTTCCATGACAAGACCAAGGCAGGACAGATTGAACCGGTCACGCTGATTACACACCCGAAGCAACGCTCTCGGCGTTTCTAGGCTCCAGCCGCGGGTGACGCGCCGGCACAACGCTTCCTGCGTGACGTACCATGGTCATATGTGCCAAGTGCTAAAACCACCACACAATCCAAACAGAACAAGAGAACACTACATCGGTAGGTTCATCAGAGCCTTCCGGTGGTACTCTAACTTCTCTCTGCCAAGGACCTTGGTCAGCATGTCGGCGTGCTGCTCTCCAGTCGGAACATACTCTGCAGTGATCTTGCCCGACTTGAATAGCTCGCGAATGAAATGGAACCACACGTCGATGTGCTTGCTCCCGCTGAGCTGAACGGGTTCTCGATTAAGACGAGAGCCCCCTTGTTGTCCTCAAGGACCTTGATCTTCGCCCCACTCGTCTCGGGCGCTATGAACGACAGAACGCCACGCACAAACAACACCTCCTTCATGCCCTCCCCGGCTGCCATTTACTCTGCTTCCGAGGTCGACTGAGCCGTCACTGACTGCGTCTTGGTGGATGCACACACTACGGTACCANACACGTCGATGTGCTTGCTCCCGCTGAGCTGAACGGGTTCTCGATTAAGACGAGAGCCCCCTTGTTGTCCTCAAGGACCTTGATCTTCGCCCCACTCGTCTCGGGCGCTATGAACGACAGAACGCCACGCACAAACAACACCTCCTTCATGCCCTCCCCGGCTGCCATTTACTCTGCTTCCGAGGTCGACTGAGCCGTCACTGACTGCGTCTTGGTGGATGCACACACTACGGTACCACCTACGGTCACAGCTAGCCCGGTCGTAGAACGCCTGTCTACTTCGTTGTCAGCGTAGCTGGCATCGACAAACACGCTTAGGTCTAGTCCTGACCCGCGTAAGTAGGTGATGCCGAAGTCCTTCGTGAAGTTCAGGTAGGACATGATCCGCACAAGCGCGTTCCATATCCTCCCGGTGGGTGAGTGGGCGATCTTCTGGAGCTTGTTCAGAGGCAGGGCGATGTCTGGCCTCGTCAGCTTCGTCCACATCAGGCATCCGATCGCCTCCCTCACAGGCTTATCCACCGCGGGCTCGTCATCACTCTTCGGCCCTGGGTCGGCATCGGTGGCAGCAGGGGTGAAAGCGGTCGTGGTCATATCAAACCGCTTCAGCATACTCTCAATGTATGCTGTCTGGGACAGCTTGGTGATGCCATTTTCTACATCCATGGCGATAGCACACCCGTCGTACCAGGTACACTCCCCCAGATCTTTCACCGGAATCTTCTTGTTGAGGGAAGCGAACAACTCCTCTCGCTCTCCTTCGTCTGCCGCCACCAAGATGTCATCAACGTAGATCACGATGAGAC